TGGTTCCTCTCTGCAGAGCTTATCAAGACTCTCTTCACTGAAACCCCTTTCACTTTCATGACAGGAGAAGACCTGCACTTAAGGTATGACATTTAATTTATCTCCAATTAAGGTTTGATACTTTGATCATGATATGTCTTATCTTAATTTTTGTGTTTTGCTATAAAATTGTAGCTATCAACTTCAGAAGTACAGGAATGCTGGCTCATTTGTCCTGCCAGTTGATCCAAATGACAAAGAAACATGGGGTGACAGTGAGCACAGGCTAGCATATGTCTCAGAAACAACTGTGATCTTCAAGGACATTGTTCAGGTCAGGGATGACCAATGGTGGAAGGCGCTTTCCACTGGCTATGTGACACAATGGGCTGCAATGAATCCCCAGAAGATCGACGCCCTCTTCTACGCCCACTCGATGGACGATGTGAAGGCGCTCGCTCCACTACTCGAGAAATTCAGGACAACTGTGGGGAGAAAGGCCTACATTGTTGTCTCTGGGGGCAAGTTTTTGGGCTGTGAGGATGCTGCCATGGCTTTGAATTGGCCGAAAGCAGTCTGCAGGGAGAGGAGATTCAAGATCATGGATTTGGGGATTGGGGCTCTGTCAAGGATTTCAAATTCAGAAGTTCCTGTTCTGCAGGCTGTGTATGCTAGCATGAAAGGGCTAATCAAGATTCATAACCCCAGTGTAGTGATCACAGTAGCTGATGCAGACTCTAACATCAAGAAGGCTCTGAAAATGGCTGTAGAGACTAACACAAACAACTCTACACTTGTTCTTCTGCCAAGACCATCTGTGCCCAAAGTTCTCTGGATGCCCGATCTTCGCCCCACTGCATTGCCAAGTAAGAATTCTGCTCTTTGTTTCACATACTATGCTCTCACTCTAATACCAAATTGAAATAAAAGTATAAATGTATAGATAATTGAACTATAGGTTTATACTTTATAGGGAAATGGGTTAAATAGGCATATGAGCTTTATTATAAAAGCGAAAACACTTAAACTTTTAAAAGCTATAATTAAAGAACATGTCATTTTAGTGCATTAAAACCCAAAAATTGGTTAGTGACAAATAATAGCATGTCACTAATATTTCGGCTAGCTCTTGGAACAAAAACCAATGGTTGGCAACCGGTGATTGCCTATTCTCTAAAGGAGGTAATTGGCAATCGCCTTTTCCCCCAAATGAAGCAACCGTCGATCGCCTTCTTACAATAAAAAGGTGACAAGAAAGTCACCTTCTTCGTCAATGAATGACGTGACCGGTGATCGCCTCCTTTGAAGAGAAGGCAATTGCCGATCGCTTTCTTTAATGACAAAAGCCTTTGTCGATTGCCCGTCGTCAATTTTTGTCGCAAAAGCTAGTCGGAGAATCATTGAAACTCTAATGACTGCTATTACAAGTCATTAACTGGTATATGACATGTTGATGTGCTTGATTATAACTTTTAAAAGTTCAATATCTAATTGACTTTTCATATTAATTTCATAGGATGTATTTGACCATTTTCCCTACTTTATATATATATATATATATATATATATATATATATATATATATATATGTCATCTCAACTCTAAACAATCAATATAATGTGTTGTATGTATTTTCAGATTGGAACAAGATGAGAGTATCCATCAGCATTATCACTCAAAACAGGGCAAATTCATTGGCAAGGCTACTGAGGTCTCTGAGCAGTGCATTCTATGTAGGAGATGAAGTTTCCATTACATTCAACATGGACAGCAAGGTGGACGAGGCAACCATAAAGCTGGTGAACTCATTCAGCTGGCCTCACGGGCCGAAAACTCTGCGAAGGCGTATCATCCAGGGCGGGCTGATTCGGGCAGTGAGTGAAAGTTGGTATCCTTCGTCAGACGATGACTTCGGGCTCCTTCTTGAGGATGACATCGAAGTCTCCCCTTACTATTACCTCTGGATTAAGTACGCTCTTTTGTCATACCATTATGACCCCCAAGTCTCACTCCCTGAGCTCTCAACAATCTCCCTTTACACGCCGCGTTTGGTTGAGGTGGTGAAGGAGCGGCCCAAATGGAATGCCACTGAGTTCTTCAAACGGATCCACCCAAACACGCCCTACCTCCACCAACTTCCATGCAGTTGGGGAGCAGTGTTCTTCCCGAAACAATGGAGGGAGTTTTATGTTTACATGAACATGCGATTCACCGAGGATGCTAAGCAGAATCCTGTCCAGATTCCTAAGTCCAGAACCAACGGCTGGCAAGCTTCGTGGAAGAAATTCTTGATCGACATGATGTATCTGAGAGGTTACGTGAGCCTCTACCCAAACTTCCCTAACCAGGCGAGCTTCTCCACCAATCACATGGAGCCCGGGGCGCATATTGCGGCAAAGGACAACGTTGTTAAGCACAACAAGGATGATTTTGAGGTGCCACTGTTGAAACAGGACTTCAAGGATCTTCTCCCCAATGGGAAAATGCCGCCAGCGCCGAAACTACCGTCGCTCAACCTCTTCAACCAGGCGGTTTCGCTCAAGGGGTTGAAGTCCGCCGGCGCAAAGCTGAAACAGGACGTCCTTAAATGCGACGCTACAGAGGTTGTCGTCGTTCATCACCACACCGGCCTTCCTTCACACTGTGCGAGATTCTAAAAATCGTGGTTATGTTGTTCGATCTACCTACAGTTTTATATCATTCTTTTAAGATTTTTATTCTTTACGTTATATTACGTCGGGGGTGATCGGAGAAACTGATCTGTCACCCCCTCCCTTAATGTAATGCGACAAGACAAAACATTCAATATACATAGATTTTTTACATCAACATAACATAGAATGAAAGCTTTAAACTACGGGAAAGTTGGCACACGTCACGTCACCTCATAGTGCGATTTGGGTGAAGCCATAAAGATGTAAATCAAGGTAAATTTTGGGTGAAGCGTAGCAGGCAAATGACAACAAAGAATTAAATGAGCTCAATTTGTCTATAGCTAGCTAAGATCGAGAAGATGAATAGGCGGCTCTTATAGCGAGTCAAACTTAGAACTTGTGATTATCAAGCTAACAACCGACCAACTCAGTTGGAGTTATATTTTACCTAACATATATAGAATGGAGCTTTAATGTTGTATTGTTTGTCATTTTAATAGTTATGGCTGTTAAGATCAAACTAAAATTCAACTAGATTAATCTCCTGTACGTATCCATGAATCAACATCACGAGGTGGTGATCCAAAATCATAATTACTTTCTGTAGCGAGAAAGCAATTATGATATGCATGGAAATGCGGAAAGTTAATTATCCTCTGCAGAATCTTTATTTGATATGGTTTGCAAGAAAAGTTGGGGCAGTTGAAGAGGAGCATCGTCCTAGTTGTGCCCTTTTTTCCATAAAGAGCACAAAGAAGAGTCAACACCCCCGCTAGGGTTCGATGGATTCTGTGATCTTCTATTTAGAAAAGCAACAAAGATGTCATTGAGCTACAAGCTACATACCAACAACTAAACATTTTAATTGAGTTTCAATATTGAAAAAAATTACAATTGAGTCTTTTTATTATTATGGGAAAATTGCACTTTTCGTCCATAAGTTATATGATAATTGTAGAATTCGTCCCTAAGTGTTAGTAGTGCTCACTTTTCGTCCCTAAGTTATTATTGGCATTGCACTTTTCATCCTTTTATTAACTTTTCATGCTCACTTTGAATTGTGTCCCTGAGCTATACTAAAGTTGCAAAATTTGTCCCTAATGTTTTGTTAGTAAAGAGACAAAAAGTGCAACACCAATGATAACTTAGGGACGAAAAGTGAGCATGATCAACACTTAGTGACAAATTTTACTATTATCGTATAACTTAGGGATGAAAATACAATTTTTCCTATTTTGAAAAATATTTAGCATTTTTATATTTATGTAAATCATATTATACAAATATGTGGCGTTTTTATATATACTTACGTGGACCTCATTGTACAATTAATTAATTAATTTTTTAAACTTTTTTTTAAGGACGACCACCTACTACTGTGGGAGGAAACAATTGATGGTTGTCGTTGTTGACAGGCAACAACCTAACAGTTGTTCAAAAACTAAATAAGGATAGCCATAGTTGTCTCAAAGTCTAGATTTAATATAAACCTCAGATTGTAATGGAGTGAAGCTACATGCAAGCTAAGGAACAACAATGGCGGAAAGGAAAAAAGGCTGGAAGTTTTGGTAAAGATATTTTCGATTGTGATTTCTGGGAGACAGATTACAATATATGAATGAAGAAGGAGCGGGAAAAGCAGTTACAAATGGAAAGGACAAGAAGGCCCTGATTAAGCTCTTCTTCTTGAATCACTGCATGCTTCTTCCTCTAATACCCCCGTAAGTTGGCGCATACAAATTTTGTGTGCCCAACTTAGAAGTGAAGGATTGGAACTGCAACGTGGGAAGCAGTTTAGTGAATCCATCTGCGATTTGATTGGAAGAGGACACATATAATAGCTTGATGACTTCTTGTGATACCTTCCCCCGCACGAGATGACAATCGATCTCTATATGTTTCGTGCACTCATGAAAGAATGCATTTTCGGCTATAGCAATTGCGGATTTGTTGTCACAGAATACCGCTGCAGGCTTCTTCAATTGTGCCTGTAAATCATCAAGAAGGAACATGAGCCACTGGACTTCGCACACAGGGCTGCTAACTGATGAAGTAATGCACAGCTCAGTCATATCTTCAATCCTCTCAAACATCTCAAATAATGCACCAAACTTGCAGCTTGCAGCAGTCCAGTTCAGCTCTTCTCTGCTTTTTGCTTTCTTTCTTAGCTTAATAAGTCAGGGGTTTATTAGTCTTTTCCTTTTTCCCTTGGCAGTTATAACGGCTTGTCTATATAGCCTATGATGTGTAAGCTGTAGACAAGTTGATACAATCATCTCTTCTTTCAGCCTGTAAACACGTAAACTCTCTTCATCTTCTTCAATGGAATGCATACTGTTTTTCTTCTAGTCCTTGAGGTTTCTCAACATGGTATCAGAGCGTTACCGGAGCTACGCCGCGGCAGTCACGGCGGAGACTGAAACCGGTGATGAAAATGGTGGCGAGCAAGCTACGTCATCCGATCGCATTCCGATGAACTCCAGCCCTGTTCAGCTCGTGGATGAGCTTCACGATCCTATGTACTTGCATGTGACGGAAAATCCTAACCTCGTGCTCGTTTCTCCTCCTTTGTCAGAAGTTAATTACGCAACGTGGAGTAGATCGATGAGAATTGCTCTCGAAGTTAAAAACAAATTCGGATTCGTTGATGGAAGCATAGCAAGTCCTGCAGAGTCCGATCCGAGATTTCCGATCTGGAGGAGATGCAACAATATTGTATGCTCCTGGATCTTCAAGGCTCTTAGCCCTATGATTGCAGAAGGAGTGCTGTATTTCGAAGTTGCGGCTGAAATTTGGAGTGTTCTTAAGAAAAGATACTCCCAGGTTGATGCTCACAGGATTGCGGAACTGCAAAACGAAATCTACAGGAGCACTCAAGGTAACCTTTCGATTAATGAATATTTCACTAAATCTAATGCTCTATGGGTCCAGATGAACGCTATGAGACCAATTCCTAAATGTGAATGTGTGCCGAGGTGCTCATGCGCACTCATTAGCAAGATTCAGAAGGAAAAACAGGAAGATCAGATTATACGTTTCCTGGAAGGGCTTAATGAAGAATATGAGAACATTAAGTCCGGAATTTTGGTTATGGATCCCATCCCTGCTATGGAGAATGTCCTTAACATGGCCCTCAAGATGGAAAGGAAGCTTAGAAACTCTGGCATCATGAAGAATCCCGATTTGATTCAATCTAATTCTGTGCAGAACATAACAATACAGAATTCAGATGACCAGTCCACTGTGGCTGTTGCAACTTCCTTTAACAAAAAGAAGTTCAGCAATAATTCTGGAAAGAATGTTCCTAAGTGTGTGTTCTGTGGGAAATTAGGGCACACGATTGAAAAGTGTTACAAGAAGCATGGTTTCCCACCAGGGTGGATTCCAGGTTATAAGTCTAAGGATAAACAAGCTCAAGAGACTCAGCCTGCTTCTGTGAACTAAGTTGGAGATGTAGGCCTTACTGCTGAGCAGTTTCAAAGGCTTGTGAGTCTGTTGCAGAGCCAAAGCCAAGGGAGTCATTCATCTAATAATACTGTGACATTGTCTAACACTGGAATCAATTCAGATTCCAGGAAGGTTGCAGAGAAACATAATGAAGGCAAGTTCATCTTTAATCCTCATATCAATACTGTGTTAAATTCTCTTGATGTTTGGATTTTAGATTCTGGTGCAACTGACCATATCACTAGTTCTTTGGACTACTTTGAATCTCATTATGCTGTTCATGGAGTATCAGTAAGGCTGCCTAATGGGGAAACAGTTGATGTTACTCACATTGGGAATATTAAACTTCACATGGATATGATGTTGAAAAATGTGTTGTTTATTCCATCTTTTTCCTTTAATATTGTTTCTGCTAGCAAGCTGGTAAGAGAATCAGGATGTGAAATTATTATTGGGGCTGATTGCTGTGATGTTCAGGGCCATCTTGGGAGGGTGGATGGTTTTGCTAAAGAAAAGGGAGGATTATCTGCTCTCCAACCCTCCTATCAGGAAGAAGGTCCATTCTGTTCAGTCTGCTAATGACTCCAATGTAATGAATTGTAGTAGTCTTTCTGCTGAGATATGGCACAATAGGCTGGGTCATTTCCCAATGAATAAGATGCAAATGTTGAAAGGGGTGAAAATCTCACCATGTACTGCCTCTGGATCAGCTTGTGACACATGTTATTTTGCCAAACATAAGAAAGCCCCTTTTTCTCTTAGCAATAATAAATCTGAGAAATGTTTTGATCTGATCCATATGGATATTTGAGGACCATTTTCTATGGCTTCCCTTAATGGAGAACATTATTTCTTAACAATTGTTGATGATTATAGCAGATACACTTGGCTACACTTAATGAAACATAAGTCAGAGGTCAGATCCACATTTCATAACTTCTATAATTATGTCCTCACACACTTTGATGCCAAAATTAAGACTGTTAGAACTGATGCTGGAATTAACATTTGCCAAAGGAAATATGCTTTGGAGATCCTAAAAGAACATGGTTTTTTGGAAGCCAAGCCAGCTAAGACTCCTGCTGTCACAAGACAGAAACTGAACAACACTGATGGGATTCCCATCACACAACCTGAAGTTTTCAGAAGGTTAGTTGGGAAACTCTTGTACCTAACCAATACTGGACCTGACATCTCTTATGCAGTCCAGCAACTAAGTCAATTTGTGGAGAAGCCAAGAAACACTCATATGGTAGCAGCTCATAGGGTGTTAAGGTACCTAAAAGGGGCACCTGGAAAAGGCTTGTTCTACCCTTCTAATTCTCTTATGAAATTGCAAGGATTTTCAGACTCAAACTGGGCAACTTGTGTGGATAGTAGGAAATCTGTGACAGGATATTGTATTTATCTTGGCAATTCTTTGATTTCATGGAAAACCAAGAAGCAAGCTACCATCTCTAGATCATCTTCTGAGGCAGAGTACAGGGCCCTAGCATCCACAACTTGTGAGGTACAGTGGTTGTTATTTCTGTTAGCAGATTTGAAGGCAACATTCTCTACTCCAGTAACTTTGTATTGTGATAACAACTCTGCCATTGCTATTGGTGAAAATTTTGTCTTCCATGAACGCACTAAACACATTGAGATTGATTGTCATGTGGTTAGACAAAAGATCAATGAAGGGGTTGTCAAACTTCTTGTTGTTTCTTCCCAGAATCAGACTGCAGATGGCTTCACAAAAGCCTTGCCTAAGCCCTTGTTTGACAAGTTCCATGATAAGCTGGGCCTTCAAGATCTTCATGCTCCAGCTTACGGGGGGTTGATGAAGTAATGCACAACTCAGTCATATCTTCAATCCTCTCAAACATCTCAAATAATGCACCAAACTTGCAGCTTGCAGCAGTCCAGTTCAGCTCTTCTCTGCTTTTTGCTTTCTTTCTTAGCTTAATAAGTCAGGGGTTTATTAGTCTTTTCCTTTTTCCCTTGGCAGTTATAACAGCTTGTCTATATAGCCTATGATGTGTAAGCTGTAGACAAGTTGATACAATCATCTCTTCTTTCAGCCTGTAAACACGTAAACTCTCTTCATCTTCTTCAATGGAATGCATACTGTTTTTCTTCTAGTCCTTGAGGTTTCTCAACACTAACACCCTATATTCGGCCTGGGAAGATGACCTGGAAACCGTCGTTTGCTTCTTAGATTTCCAAGAAATCAGGGCATCGCCGAAAAATATGCAGAATCCAGTGATGGAGCGACGAGTTTCCGAACATGTTGCCCAGTCGGAATCTGAAAACATATTGAGCTGCAAAGCTTCACCTTTTGGATAGAATATCCCTTGGCCGGGTGCTCGTTTGATGCATCGCAGAACATGGTGAGCAGCACTGATATGTTTGTTAGTAGGAGCGTCTACAAATTGACTCAATTGTTGTACGACGTATGCAATGTCCGGCCTTGTGGCCGTGAGATATAGAAGGCGGCTAACAAGTCTTCTGTAGGAGCCGATGTCAGTAAGCAGCTCGCCATCCCCGTGATATAAGCGAAGACCAGGTACCATAGGGGAGGATGCAGGCTTGCACTCAAGGAAGCCTGTTTCTGTTAAAATGTCTAGAGCATATTTACGCTGGCATAGATTCAGACCAGCCTCATTCCTTCGTGCTTCAATCCCAAGGAAATAACCTAATTCACCTAAATCTTTTATCTTGAAGGCATCATCAAGATATGCTTTGAGCTTCTGAATTAGAGACATAACTGATAAACATTATTTTTATTATTAAGTTGCAATAATTTATTTATTTTATATCAATTTTATTTATTAATTTTGTATTTTTAGCTTTACTAATATTGTTTAATTTTGGGTTATTTTTGGTTATTAAGTTTGTTTTATTATTATAATTGTCAGTTTAATAGTTTATTGCCTTTAGATTATTATTATTATTATTATTATTATTATTATTATTATTATTATTATTATTATTTCTTACATATTCAAACGCGTGAATGGCCGAACAAGAAGCGAACAGAGACACCAGCGAACTTGAGGACGGGCAGCGTGGATAGAGAAGCCCCAGAAGACACGGTCTTCCTCAATTGTCGACCAAAAATTGAGGAAGACCGTGTCTTCTGGGGTTTCTCTATCGACGCCGTCCGTCCTCAAGTTCGTTGGTGCCTTTGTTCGGCCATTAATAAAATGCCTTGTTTGATTCATTATGCAAGTAGAACTTTAGATAATGCTCAGGTTAACTACACAACTACTGAAAAGGAGTTGTTGGCTATAGTCTTTGCATTAGAAAAATTTCGTTCTTACTTAATTGGTTCTAAAGTGATTGTGTTTTCTAATCATTCTGCTCTAAAAATTTTTGCTAGCTAAAAAAGATGTCAAACCTAGACTAATAAGATGGATTCTGTTGTTGCAAGAATTTGATTTGAATATCAAGGACTGTGATACCCCGGTTATTTGAGTATTTTGTTATAAATATTATTATGCTAAATAAAATTTTACAATATAATCGTTATGTGAAATATAATATTTTTATTGTATGATCCATAATTGTATTATTTTATGAGACACAAAACTATTTGAAATTAGTCTACTAATATTATTTTATGGTTATTATGTTAGATATACAATAATCTAACTATACTGAATATTAGTATACGAGAAACCTGACCTCGTATGATAGCGGAAGCGTAGCCGTGTTGATCTCCAGCCATAGTTGATGTTTCTGTTGTGTTGCCTCTTAACGGTAGACCGTTAGCCCTGTTTTGTCTCAGACCTGACTCAGAACCCTAGATGGTGTATCGGTATCTACTGAGCGGTCTGAGTACCGTAACTGAATGTGCTATCTCATCCATAATCCTGTATCCCATCAATCCAGGTTATATTAGGCACAGAGTTTGGTTGACTAACAACTACTAGTTATTAAGTCCAACCAGACCACTTAATAAGCCTAGTCAACTTGCACCACTTAATTAAGGCTCTAATATATAATATATAATATATATTATTAGGGAAAATCTTACATTCTCCCACTTGGTGCAAGTACTAGCACAACCATCATCAAAGAACAAAACACACGAATCATAGTGATATGTCCTCTATTTAACCAGAGTAGTATCCATTATGATCACATGCATTTTAATTCTCCAACTTAGGTCCTTAATGAACAAACTCTATGTTTATTCTCGGTACCTTAAGGGATGTTTCTCAAAATACATTATGTGCACAACTGAAGGAGAAAACACATCCAAATTGTACAAAAGAGTACACTGTATGATCTCTAAAACTTTATAAGCATGCCTTAAGTAGAGATCTCTTAATGTTAGCATAATGCTAACTATATTCTATGACTTCTTTATAAGTTAACTTTAAGTACTATCTCTAACAGCTAAGAGCTTGGAGTTGACACGTCTGTCACTCCTACTCATCAAAAATAGCCAAAAGATAATCAAGTCACAGAAGCATTCCAATAACTTAGACAATAAACCAAACATCTAAGTCTATAAATTTGGAATCTTAATCATACACCATAACTTCCCAAATAACTTCAATGTTCATTTTAAATGAACTGGACATAATGAGTCTTACTAATATGTCTCACAAAATTGTTTTGAGCCTTACAACTGAAATGACCCAAGATCAATTTTGAAGAAACTAAAGACTCTATTAATCACTGAAGAATTTATTAAATGACAGTGCACCACAAATTAAATGTTTTTGTTCTAATAAATTCCTTGGTTACAACATTTTCATAAATATGTTGCACAACCAAATGTTCAATAATTTGAACTTATGAATTTATATGAACAAATACAAGATTAATACTTGTGGAATATTTTGGACTTATTGTTTAACATACAATCAAATTTAGGATGTATGAAGCCAATTAAATCCATAAACTTTAGTGGAGCATCTTAATGATCTTTTTCTAAAAATGATCACTCCCACTGATTAAAACATTCTTCAGCGAAATTAATAAAGTGAACTTAATAATATACATACTCATAATCGATTTATTGACCAACTAACAAATGAAGACACAATTCCCCACCATTAGTTGGGCATACTAAATAATCAATTTTTGGTTCCAATTAAAGTCCAACTAAATAATGAAGATATAATTCCCCACCATAGTTGGACATACTAAAAGAAAATAAAATACATCTTTCAAAACCAAGTTAGAATTTGGCTCAAAAGATACATTTTAACATTATTGGAATCCAAGAGGTATGTCAAATCACATAACTTACTACAGTTAGTCCGAAGAACCGAGCAAGATTCGTGGATTAATTAATAGAAGTGACTAAATTTTGGGAAGTGACTGAAAAAACATGTTTTGCCAATGCAAATCATGAAACTTAGAATGATAATTGAACTAAATTTATAAATTCTAAGAAATTGTGATAAAATTATTATCTAATAGGTTGAGGGATTTATTGACATAAAACTTGCCTGTGGGCTAAAGTTTTAATTCTATTAAATCCAATTAAGAAACCCTTATGATAATATTTTTCACAATTACTAAAGAGCCAGAAGAATCTAGTGACATAAAACTTGCCTGTGGGCTAAAGTTTTACTCAATTAGATTCAACTGAAAAATTTATTTATGATGAAACCATTATCAAATGAGTTGAAGAATCAAATGACATAAAACTTGCCTGTAGGCTAAAGTTTTAGTCAATAAGATTCGTTGCTATCATTATGATAAAAAAAACTTAAAGATCATGTTCCTTTTCTTAATCCCTGTGGGCAAATTAAGAAATATGACCTAAATTTACATCATAAAATTAAACTTCATGATAGAATTGGAAATTGTTTACAAATAACCATAATGTAAATAAATTGATTTATGTCTATCGTCACTGATAAAACTACTAAACTACATTCCGATACATAATTGCCTGTGGGCTAAATTATGACCGTAGTCCAGTATTTCATCCTGATTAATTATACAAATATAACGAAATTGCCTGTGGGCTAAATTTCATCATATTACATACAATTAATCACAAAAGATATGTCCAAAACTATATGTGATCAAAATAAACCGCTTAATATATAATTTTAACAGATTAAGGATGCTGTGGCTACTCCAAAACCAAATTAAAACTATAAGATCACTAGACAATTATCAAATTCTTAGGGGTGTTCAATCGGTTAACCGTTCGGTTAACCGAACCGTTTTAACCGAACCGAATTAACTAAAGTTTTTTTTTCTTTAACCATTAACCGAATCGAAGTTTGCTCTACCGAATTCACCGAACCGAAATTTTTTTCGGTTAATCGGTCGGTTAACCGATTAACCGAACTTTTTAAAGTTAAAATTTAAAATTCTAAAAATAACACCTAAAATAATAAATTCAATTAAAATAAAATACATATCATAATAAATTCATAACAAAATATAAAAAACATGAATTATAATCTCCAAACATCCATAACTTCAAATTAGTATTTATATTTATATTATTATTTATATATTAATTAAAAACTTCGGTTAACCGACCTTTCGAACCGAATTAACCGTTAACCGAAGTTTTAAAATTCCTTTAACCATTAACCGAACCGAAAAAGTTCGGTTCGAAAACGGTTAACCAAACTTTGTCGGTTCGGTCGGTTAACCGAAAATTATCCGAAGTTTGCACACCCCTACAAATTCTTGTCTAAACTTTATGTGATTGAAACTTAACAATCTTAGGTAGCTGAATATGCTGTAGCATTTCCTTAATTAACCAAGATTGAAAAATCAAGATATTTCAGTAAATTAAAGATTCTTTGGCTATTCTTTAATGAACTGAAATAAAATCACATTGGCAAGGAATGCTTAAAATGTTGGCAAACAGATTATACCAGATTGTGATGGGAAAATCTAAATATACTCCAAGGAAAGGCGGTTAGAGACTAAGTCTCACTGAAAACCAATTCCTTAAATAGAGTATCAATTTAAGGAGACTAGTGGCTCAAGATGTCCTTAACTCATGGCCATTAAAACTAGTATGTCTCCCCGATTCATATATATACTTAATGTATAACTGTTTGGGGGTATACACCAAAAAACTGTAGGGTATACACCAAAAAACTGTAGGGTTCACCTATGATTAAAGCTTAAATGGTGAACTAAAAATAGCGGACTAAACGTGCTTAAATTCAAGCACTACCGCGACTAAAGTTTATGCACAAGTCCAACTTAAATAGGAACTAATATAATTCCATCTCAAAGTATGCATTGCTAAAGGCATAATAAAATTGCATAATTTAAAACAGAATATTATGCTTAGGACAAATATGCATAAAATTAAATATTAAACTCATATATTCCAAATAAATTGCATAACTGAAGGCAAACTTACAATATGAGATTTCAAAGTATAAACTTAATATTCAAACACCAATGAGTCCAAACCAAAAGAGACCCAACATTTTGAATAATAATGTACTGAATATATACTTTAAATTTTTTTTTTTTTAACTGTAAGCCCATAGGAAAATGTTTTAATGCATAAAGATCAAATTTATGAAAAATAACTGAATTTACAAATTCAAACAATATCAAACTAAAAGGATATGGTAGCATTTGTAAATTAAAATCTCACAAACCCTAATTGCATAATTAAACTTAATATTATGCACTTAAAGTGATCGAATGCATAACACAATCTAAAAAGTATGAACCAACTAAAGAATATGAATTTATACCAAATATTCATACTTAACCAAACATGGACAATCAGAACTAAAATCATAATTCC